CCCCCCCCCCAAGCACCAAGAATACAGAGCATCCCTTGCCCCAGCCGGGGAGTTCCCGTCTATACCTTGTGGCTAAGAGCCACTTCTGTTTGTGGAGGGGAAGGACTCCAGTGAGGGATAATGGCATAGAGTTCCGCCTTCTGAAGTGCCCCTTTCCTCCAGGTGAACTGATCTCTGTTGCCTGGAGGTCAGCTGTAGTAGCAGGAGATCTCCAGCCACCCCCTGGAGGCTGGCAACCCTATTCTGATGCGATGGGAGACTTTAGACAACACACTTATGCAGCATAACTCCAGTCTCAGCACACTGAGATCAACCCACAGGATTTCACTGCCAGATCTTCATTAGCTTTCTTCAACTATGGGCTAAGAGCTGGTTGAAAACAAAAGCAAGCAGGGACAGAAAGGGCAAGAAACTGGACCTTAACACTAAAATTCAGAACCTAACAAAGGTTAGTAAAATGTGAAAAAGAGGGCCAATATTAAAAACTAAATGTAGGAAATATATAGAAAAAGATACACGTGTTTATCAATTACAAATTTTAAAACATATATAAGGGCCCGTTCACATCAAATATATAAATAACATGGCAATTCACACGGCTTTAAAAACCTGACCTGACGCATTTCGGCCTGCGTAGGCCTTCCTCAGAGGTAAAGCAATTGAGTGGCAAGATGGCTATATAAATATAATGCACTCATGTAGACACAATCAGAATGGATACAAAATATAAATTCAATTGTTGTTGTTGTTCAGTCGCACAGTCGAGTCCGACTCTTCGCGACCCCATGGACCAGCCACTTCTGGCACCCGTGCCATAGGTTCGCCACCACTGGTATAGACTTTTGCTGCAAGAATTGCCTTCTTTGTGTTGCCACAGTGTTCTCAAGAAAAATTAATAAACACATGTATCTTTTTCTATATATTTTCTACATTTAGTTTTTAATATTGGCCCTCTTTTTCAGATTTTACTAACCTTTGTTAGGTTCTGAAAACAGAAGCAAGCCACATCACCTGTTCCCTGCTCATTAAACTCAGTGGCACGTCCCAACAACAGTAGACTTGACAGTAGCTTAGAAATGGGAGCATCTCTAGCTGTGAGAGAACAGATGCCACTATGAAGTCACAGGGTGAGAAATATTGCTGTGCATACAATAAAGTGCGTGTTTCCTGTGCAATGGACCAGACTGTGCGATTAACACAGGCCCATATGCATGCAAGTAACTGACAGCGGAGCAAAGGGATAGCTGCTTATAGTAAATTGCTGTCTTGGCTTAAACTGACTTTCAGGTAAGGGAATAAAAGACATTTTAAAATAATGTATAAGCAGCTGATGCGGCTACATATGCCTGGTCAAACCTGAGTCAAGCTAGTCCATGAGGCAACGTTAACACAAGAACAACCCCCCTGGTATGCTTTCCAGGAACATCTGACTGGTCACTCACTTCTGGAAACAAGGTACCCAACTAGACAGAACCTTATCTGGACCCTCTGAGGTACTTCTTATGCTTTTCTGTATTAGACCAAAGACCCACCAAGCCTTCTACCATGGGAAGTGGCCGAGGGAAGGTAACAAGCACGGAGCTCTCCAGAGTCCTGAATGTGGGGGGCCCAGAAGCGTGCGTGGTCTAGCATGATTTATGGTGCTGAGGATGCATATGAAAAAGTATACAGAAAACAATCCTGATAAAAGAGAATGAAAAACATAGGCTGTGCAATACACCCAAGACTGTCTAATTTTCTACATCAATAAAAACTCCATCTTCTTTTTGTACCTACATCTTGAGGGCATAGCAATTAGGGCTGCAATACTAAGCACACTTATCTAGGAGCTTACTTAGAATCATAGAATCGCAGAGTTGGAAGGGGCCATACAGGCCATCTAGTCCAACACCCTGCTCAATGCAGGATCAGCCTATAGTATCCCTGACAAGGGTTTGTCTAGCCGCTGCTTAAAGACTGCCAGTGAGGGGGAACTCACCACCTCCCTAGGCAGCTGATTCCACTGTGGCACAACTCTTACTGTGTTGTGTACTGGGTTCGATGCGTAGTGAAGACAGACGCTGTGTGATTAGCAGCTCATACTTTACTGGCACACAACACAACGACAAACAAACGGTCGAACGACCAACTATATACAGTCCCCGGTTGCCACCCACAGGTGCCATGGGCGGGTTTGAACTTCCCGCCACAGTTCCTATAGGTGCTGACTAGGAGTCTCAGGATCCTAGTCCCCATCGTTCTTTTGGAGCCAAGCTCTCGTCAAATACCGCTGGCGCCTAGTGGTGGTCAGAGGACATAACATACTGTCAAAAAGTTTTCCCTAATATTCAGCTGGTACCTTCCCGTCCTTCATCTAAACCCATTATTATGAGTCCTATCCTCTGCTGCCAACAGGAACAGTTCCCTGCCTTCCTCTAAGGGACAGCCCTTCAAAGACTTAAAGAGAGCCATCATGTCCCCCCTCAACCTCCTCTTCTCCAGACTGAACATTCCCAAGTTAGTCCCCACTGCAAAATCTCACCTCACTGGCTGATTCACAAAACCATTGTGCCTATGGCGAAGGGTTAGCATGACATGAAGGATACAGAGACCTCAGAAAATCTTGGTTCACATCCCCATCTGGCCACTAAGCTTACTGTGTGTCCTTGGACAAATCACCAATTCTAATTTCCCTCAGAGGGACGGAAAATAAGATGAGCCTGCCTTCCCTTGTTGGCTTGTCTTAAACCCAAGTTGCCACCCAAGAGGAAAACGTCACACATTGAGGATAAAGCAGTAACGTTCGCCTAATGTACGCTTGCCAGCTAGTTATGTTTCTAGTGTGCCATTCAAAAAACCAACTACCAAACACCCTATTTTCCACAATGACAGCACGGTCACCAGAATTCACTCTTTTGAGAAGCCTTCATGCGACTGTGGCACACGTGTGGGGGGAAAAGGGAGTAGTCTAAATACCAAAGAACCTCTTTTTGATATCTGTAATGCATCTCTGTCTGATCGAGAGCTTTTGAAATGGTGCTTCTTTTCAAAATGTTGTAGGAACTCATTAGATTAAAGATTTCCCAAATCTGATCCAACTGTACTCAGACGCTACCATTTCTACCATTATCATCATCATCTCCAGCAGCAACAATAAATACATACAGGAAAATAAAATGAACACAGTAATAGCTACACTACCATCTTCCTAGTCATTATGCCTAGCCCATTAAAAATAAGCGAAACTGTGAAGTGAAATGACGTACTGCTTATATGAAGCTGGAACAATTCCACTTAAGCTGCCATATAGAGGTAAATGGATTAAAGTCAAAATAGTCTTGAGAGGAAGAAATCGGTACCAAAATTATGATATGCTTATCATATATCCAAAGTGATTATCTTAGAAATGGAGGGCATTGTCTTATTTGTACAGTCTACAGTGTTCACAGCTTTGCCTTTTTCAAAAGAAGATTTCACTGAATATTTATTCAGGCAAATGAGATGAAAATAATAAGAACCGCATCATCGGCCATTATAAGCTATAGTCCATGAAAAGGTAGAACAGTATTCCCCAAACTGCTGGTAGCCGAGGTTCATTTTTTAATTAATTAAAATGGGAGTCATGCGTCACTCTTAGACCTGAGAAGGGCTACTTTTATAGTGCTTAATAGTAATAGCATACCACTTAGTAGTAGTAGTACCACTTATCCTTCGAAGAATCTAACCTTGTGTAGCTTATTGTGTAGCTTAGGGCTGCACTGCTCCTTGTAACCTAAGCATCGCATGGCAGAATTAATTTCCCCCAGCAAACGCTGATCGGGAGGAGGAAAGGCCAGAGCAGGGACTCATGCAGAGACGCATCCAGCACCCTCCTCTGGGGCTGGAGTCATCAGGCTGGGAAAGGACTTGAATCTTTTCTCTCTCTTCATATTTCCCCTGAAGCACACTAGGAGTTCTCTCAGAGTATCCAGCCCTGCTGGAACAGGGGGAAAAAAAAAGCAACACAAAATGCTCCAATACCTTTCTAGCCTCTGCATAGTCATGGCCAGCGTCTTATTCAGCTCCTCGATCATCCGGCAGCCTTGGGGGTGAATAGGTAACGTGTTGGATCCGGAAGGCAAGTGTGGGCTGTGGCTGCAGTACTGATGCTGGTGCGCCGCTAGCTGTGATGGCAGGACCGTGTGGTGATGTGGAGCCATGGGTTGCTGGGGACCCTTCTGAGAGGAGTAAGAGGCGAGGGAGTGGTCTGGCCCCACTAAAGGCATGCAGATCATGACTTTCTTTGGAGGTAGCGGAGGCGACAGTTTGACGGGCATACAAGGCAGTTTCACGGGAGCGCCAGCATCTAAAACACAGAAGTTTGAGAAATTCAGACATAAGCCCTTAGCAACGGAAACATACACACAGACAATACAAGCCCCCCGGTGGCCTCCTCCTCATGGGATGTTCTCATACCCTGCAGTGGGAGGGAGAGCACTGCAATAATGTGGACGAGGCTGATCGATGGGACCAGGCGAATGGGGGGAGACCCATGCCATCAGACCTGTCCACATGGCTGCAGTATTCTTGCATGTATCACAGCTGTGCCTGAAGAAGGAACGTGATCACCGGTTCGGGTAAGGATCACACTAGACGCCAGGAGGAGCCAGTTCCAATCAGGGCTCCCTCTAAGCTGTGGAGTCCTGTGAGCAAAAGTTCTACTTTGTGAGCTACTGGCATTAGAGTTGTGAGCAAGCAATTTGGCTGCTGCATAAATTAGTTTGCTCTTGGAGCCATCCTTCCTGAGTTAAGACAAAAATGTGTGAGCCAGAGACTAAAAAACTGTGCGCTAGCTAGGCAAGCCAAGTCACGGCGGGGGATCGTAGGTCTTCACAGGATCCCTGCCGCGGAGACAGCAACATGCGTTGCACCGCCATTGCCAGGTTGTGACGCTACGCGTCGCTCTGGCAACGGGGCTGTTTGGAGTCCCGTTGCCAGAGCGATGTGTAGTGTCACATCCTGGAGACGGCGGTGCAACATGTGTCATCATCCCCGCGGCAGGGATCCTGTGAAGACAAGCTAGTGCGCAGTTGGGATGCCTAGTGCTAGCTCACACCAACTCAGCTTAGAGGGAATACTGCTCTGGAGCCATCCTTTCTGAGCTAAGACAAAAATGTGTGAGCTGGAGGCTAAAAAACTGTGAGCCAGCTCACCCTAACTCAGCTTAGAGGGAACACTGGTTCCAATTCAGATACTGCAAACACCAGTATCTGAAACGTACACATTAACAACATAACAGCTGCGTTAGACTCTTCTACTTTGAGAGGCTGTGCTAAAAACGACGCTTAAAAATGGCAGTCTAGGTTTCCTATCATCTTCCTTCTCTTCTCCAAGCCAGGTTTTGAGCAGCCTGAGAATCCTGTCAGTATCTCTGTGAGTTAGTCAAATAAGCAGGGTTTAAAGATCCCATGTGATACAGGAGACAAAGCCTTTGGGTGGCACTGGAGAGATTTGGCTTCTAATCTCTGCTCAGTCATGAAGCATACAGGGTGGCCACAGGCTTTCCCTATCTTTCAGCCCTATGCTGTTTCCCAGAGTCATTGTCTCAGGATACAAGAGGGCAACACCATGAATGCTGGCTGCCCTGAGCTCTTTAAGAGAAAATGCGGACAGATAACAGCCAAGAAAACTGGTAAAAAAAAGCATGGGAGGTCCATTTTTACTGAGAGCAATGCTGATCCAGGACACTTTTCTACAGACAGGAGAGAGTTTCACAGCCATGAGAATTCAGCCGTTGGTTCTTCATGACAGAGACGCAATACAGTGCAACAGACCAGCTCTCGAGATAGCAAACTGGTATTATTTTTCCTTCCAGAGGTAGAAAAAACTTTTGTTTGGTAGAGGAGTGCTCTGGGTTACTTCTCTGTAGGAGACTTCCATGGGGAAGTGACTGGGAAACAGAAGCACAAAGGGTGGTTGAAAGGTAGAGGTGAAGGAAGGAGCTACTTAAGCAGTGCTGCCTGAGGCTGTGCCACTGTGTTAGTATAGCTGGATGTAAAGGTAAAGGTCTCCCTTGCTCGAAAGCCAGTCGAGTCTGACTCTAGGGTTGCGGTGCTCATCTCCGTTTCAAAGCAGAAGAGCCAGCGCTGTCCGAAGACGTTTCCGTGGTCATGTGGCTGGCATGACTAAACACCAAGGTGCATGGAACGCTGTGATCTTCCCACCAAAATGGTACCTATTTATCTACTTGCAATTTCTTGCTTTCGAACTGCTAGGTTGGCAGGAGCTGGAACTAGAGACGGGAGCTCACTCCGTCATGTGGCAACTCGGGTCTTGAACTGCTGAACTACTGACCTTCCACAGCCTGCAGTTCAGCGTCTTAACCACTTGAGCCACCACAGCTCCATAGCTGGATGTACATATGTACAAAAAACAATTCCCTGTATTGGCACACCCAAGTAAGATGGAGCGAGCTGCTTAGGAAAGCAACGTTCCATGGAAAAATCAAAACAGGCAATAGCAACCGAAGGACGAAAAATGGAAAGAGAGCACAAAGAGGATTTGCTCGAGGCTCTGAAACGAAGACTGAGTGTTGATCTAATAAGCAACCAGGGTCTGGCTCTTTGGGATGACCCTTATATTTCTTCCCTCTGTGTGACCATTTGTTAACTGGAACATGTTATCCATGGCATGACCCTAGAAGACTTGGATTTGTTATAGATCATCAAGTGTTCTTGGGGAAATTTTCACAGATCAGTCATGTGCGAATCACTGAAAATGCAGCTTCTCAAGAGCCACTCGATGGATTCAAAGCAAAGAGTTGGGTCTCACAGATCTGTTCGAATCAGTCTCCATTAGTGCAAGAAGCCTTCTACTGGAAGAAAGCACCTCTCCTTATGGTACATATCCATAGGATCCAACCCACTGTACAAGGAGACAAACTCTGGAAATGTATGCTGCTTTCCACTCATTTCTGTAATGGACAAATTTATTTGGTGACAGGCAAATTTAACTTGCAGACTTCACCACTGCCATCTTTGCTTCTGTCGTCTACTAGATGCTAAATGGATCTGGCATGTGTTTTTAAATGACAGAAGCAAATGCTGTGCTTTTTGTATTTCTTATGCAGACATATCCACACCAGCTGAACATGTTTTAGCTATATCCTACATTAAAAAAACATTAAACAACAAAAGCACTACAAGATTTGCAGTATCGACATGTTATCAGTACATCTAATTCTTAACATGGCCCCATCTGTGGATACTTAAATCCAGAGATTCGAGCCATGAACAGACAAGGCAGATCTTTTTTTACAAATCCAAGAAAAGCCTCGGATTTGCAGAAAAATCTAAAATGTTTAAAAAGTGAGGTAAAACAACCCAAAAATAACAGATAACCTTTAAGATAGGAGATATCTCAGTGGTCACTGTGGCGGTTCCTAGGCGTCCACAACAATATAGCCAGCCTTCAAACCTTGGCTTCTGTCACTAAAAGGCATGGGGAGTGCCCTTTTCAGGGCCATCAGTCAATCCTGCACCCTTCCCCCCTCCTCTGCAGGAAGGACTTATTAGGGCTAGGCCTAGGGTTGCCATCCCCCTGATGAGGGTGGGTTTCCCCCTGATTCTGGGCCCCCTGTTCCACCTTCTGGCCAGCTGGCCAGTGGGGAAGCCTCGCCTCCAAAGAGCACCACAGCACCCAACATGCCCAGTGCAATGACGTCACCTGGAGGTGACATCATTGTGCCAGGACCATAGTGGAGGGGACACTCTAGCATTCGGCAAAAAAACTCTGTGGTGACCACAGATTTTGGCCAAACGCTAGAGCACCCCCCACAATGTACCTAGTACGATGACATCACTTCCAGATGATGTCATTGTGGTGCACACACTATGTGTGCAAGCCTGAAGATCCCTGAGAAGAGTCAGGAGCCCCCCCCCCACCAAAAGGTAGGGACCTGGCAACTCTAGCTAGGCCTAGCAGCAACCACTTGCAACTTACTTCCATGCAACTCACCAAGGTGTGAGAATGGCTACCAGATAATTTGATGCCATACAAATCAGCTGAGCCCAGCACAGCCTCTGTACAACCTGGCCAAGACTGGCAGTGGTCACCACACAATTCACCTGAATGACAAGAGGTGTTGCATGGTCATGGTGCACCAGAAATTGAGATGCACTGCAAAGCTCTCCGATCATGTCGCCTTGCACATATTCAACGGATTGATTTTTTTTTAATTCACCATACATTGAACTTGCTCATGTAAACCGGCCTTTAATTCTACTTAGACTGGGACTCTGGATGAGTCTCACATGTCATCCGAGTCCCCACAAGGCTGACAAAATATCAACATTCCTAAAGCTGAACGCATTCTGCACAAAACTCACTTTGACACTGATCTTGCCATGGGCTGAGATATCCAGTAGTAAAGTCTATTTTTGCACTGGAACCTATTTAAAAAACACACGTACACACACACACGTTTAAGAATTAGAAGCAATCTCAGAAGAAGAATTCCAAGCGGAGACACTTTCTGTGAACACGTTCCTCTTACTGCTGTCTCCGCAAAGCAAATTATTATCCACCTTCACTCTCCATTAGTCACGCCCAGAGTGTCTTCATTTGGCTCTTCACAAAAATAACTCAGCGAAAAGAAACCCAAACCAGATGCTGAAACTATGTGGGAAACTCGAACTCCTTCATTCTGATTGTGAGAATTCTCATTATATGAATTCCTTCAAACAGGGCCTGAGAAAGCCTCTGGAGAAATTAGTAATGGAATAAGGTTAATTTACCTCCAGCCTTGGAAGGATGATTCATTAGAACCAACTGCTCATTTCCAGAGACTATGCAAAATTGAATTAACGCCCCCCCCCCCCCGAGGACAATATAAAATATCTTAGAAATATGTCTCTTGGCCCCTCCATTCCAATTCTATGCATGTCTTCTTGGAAATATGTCTTTTTAATCTCACTGGGGACAAACTAGAGGTTACGATGGAACCATGTGTAATATTAGCCTAACTTTGGGTCTCCGAACTTGTTGGTCCTATAGGCACTTTTTGAACTTTGAGATAGGATAGTGGGCACTGCCACAAAATGGCTGCCATGAATAGGGCCAATCACGACATTGTGAGACTCCGAGCTGGGTGTTTGAATGGGCTTCCTTGAAGCTCCTCCTGCACTGAGTAGATGTAGGAAAGTTGGGAGTGGTTCTTTGCTCCAGGGAAGAGAGATCGTTTGGTTTCTGTTTCCAGACAAAGAGTAGGTCTGCTCCTTCTTTGCTGCCATAGAGAGAGGCATCCAAGCCAGTACTTAGGGCCAAGGTGAGTGTGTGAGGCGGTGACCCAATGGCACAGGATGAACCCCGTCCTTTGCTAGCTTGGTAAGGAATGATCTAGAGCGCCATGTTTTTTCCCCCTCCTATTCTATTCAAGATCCTTTGAATTTTATTCTTAAGAAGTAGCCACCAGAAAACTAATCGTCATGAGCAATAGTACCTTTCGGTGCCACACCAGAGACTGCTGGCCTACTGGCTTCCTCCTTCCTGCAAAGCTTCATTTGTGACAGAGAAGTGACAGGGCTGGATAGAGGGGATGCTCAATTAGGGGTGGGCATGGACCGAATTAGGGATGGGTATGGCGTGAAAAAAGGTGGTTTGGTTCAGGGTCAGAAATGAACTGGCCTCACATGGACTGAACCAGTCCAGCAAGATTGGGATGTGGCACAATGGGGGAGGGGAATCTCCAGGGAAGGGACATTCCTTCCCCCTGGCTGTGGTTCTCTGCAGCCAGAAGAAAGGGGGGATCACCCGAGAAGGGGCTTCCCTGCCCCCTTTACACTGGTGGTGGTGACAGCCAGGAAAAGGGGGGGATCGCCAGGGAAGAGGCTTCCCTTCTCCCTTTTTCCCGGCTGCGGTGAGCCAGAGCCAGCAGAAAGGAGGGGGTGAAGTACCCCTGTGCAGGCATTCCATTTAAGCTCTTCTACCTGCTCCCCACTACTTTTTGCTGAGCGGCGGGGAGCTCCCAGCGGCTCAGTTGTTTCTCTCTTCATGAACCATCACAAGCCTCCGTGAATTGCACCAAAATTTGTGGTAGTTTGTCCCGGTTCTTCAGTTCACGAACTCTGGTTTCGCGAACCCTGAACAGCCCAAAATTCGCAATGTGCTTTGGTTCGTCAGTTGGTTCGTGCCCGTCCCTGTGCTCAATCCGTTCCTACCTGCCATTTCCCCCTTGAAGCTCCTTTTCCCTAACCACTGTTCTCTCTGAGGGTTCTATAACTGGATTGAGGGTTCTATAACTGAGGGTTCTATAACTGGATTGGCATGTCTGGAATCCCAGCAGAGAAAACAGTGGTATAATATGAAAGAAGGAAAACAAATTTTTCACACCGGCAGTTCTAGCCCAGTTATTTCACTTATTTACCAGCATCATTCCTGTCACAGGGTAGCAGAGTTCCCTCTAAGCTGAGTTAGTGTGAGCTAGCTCACAGTTTTTTAGCCTCTGGCTCACACATTTTTGTCTTTGCTCAGGAAGGATGGCTCCAGAGCAAAGTGATTTATGCAGCGGCCAAATCGCTCGCTCACAATTTTAATGCCAGGAGCTCGCAAAGTAGAATTTTTTCTCACTAGACTCCACAGCTTAGAGGGGAGCATTGGTTAAGGGTAGGGAAAGATGTTACTTTAGGAAATTTGGCTAGCACTGGGGTGGTGGTGGTTTGAAGACAAACGTGTATCTTTCTGTTCTGCCAATGTCCCCTTTCTTTGTAGCCTGCATTTTGCTACATGGCCTAGGTCTGTGTTAAGTTCAGATGAGAAACTTTTGTAAACTTTTGTAAACATGTCTATTTTACCAGGGTTGCCAGTTCTGGGTTGGGAAATACCTGGATTTTTTTTTTGGGGGGGGGATGTAGCCTGAGGAGGGTGGGGTTTGGGGAGGGGATAATATACCTCACGAACAGGGCTGAAACTCTCTGAATCAGGTACTAATGCTGTACCCTATTGGTTTGGGGTGAGTTTGTTCTCGGACCTATAGCAGGGGTGGCCAAACTTGCTTAACGTAACAGCCACATAAGAATAAATGTCAGATGTTTGAACAAATATTGCACACACGTTTTTATTGGAAAATATGCAGATTTGCTTTTTATGAACATTAAATTTGACTGTGTGGAAGAGCTACATGCGGCTCCCGAGCTGCAGTTTGGCCAATCCCTGACCTACAGCATCCTTCATCAATGCTGGAACAAAAGACCAAATAACTGCAGAGTGGACAACCTAATACAGAAGAACCGTGGAGCAAAAATCCATGAAAGAATGAGGACCAAAAATATCTCTACAATGGGACAAGTCGAGCCACAGATTGAATGAATGCTGGAGGAGAAAAATGAAGAGTAAGGACAGCAGTGATGAGGTTCCCCCCCCCTTTCCTGGAAAAAACCAACTCCCAAACAGAAAGCTACAAGTACAGGAGCAATGGCTGTAGCTGAAACAAGCACAAATAATTAGGAATGGCTCAAGTGGATCAGAGCGAGGTAAGGGGATTTAAACTGGGTTCAGTAGACATTTCCCCTCTTTACACAATATTGAGAACTGTAGCTCCATGAGGCCACGAGGGCCAGGAATCTTTCAGAGAATCTTAACACAGTTCCCAGCATACTTTGAGACAAGGCACAGCACTGAAAACTAGTATATAGGCTTGGGCTAGGGTAAAAAAAAATCCCCAGCTCAGTACTCTGGGCCAGATCTTGGCCTGAGCTACTACGGCCTGCAGTACAGGAGAAGGCCAACAAAACTGAGGGATTTCAGCTAGTGAAGAGAACCAAAAAATATGGAAGCTGTAATGATGTACAAAACGCTTATAATCTCACAATAATGATGCAAAAATGGACAGTCAAATTGAAGTTATTAATTCCCAACAATTATCAGAAAGATGGACGAACTTCTCCGGAGTTTTGACATTCGTTTTGTGAAGAACGTCTTCCAAACAGCAAGATGTTTGGAGGAAGTTCTTTATGAAACGAATGTCAAAACTCCGGAGAATTTTGTTCATCTTTCTGATAATTGTTGGGAATTAATAACTTCAATTTGACTGCCCATTTTTGTATCATTATTGTGAGATTATAAGCGTTTTGTACATCATTACAGCCAGGGCTTTTTTTGTAGAAAAAGCCCAGCAGGAACTCATTAACATAATAGGCCACACCCAACAACAGAAACTCATTAGCATATTAGGCCACACCCCGAGATAGCAGCTTATTAGCATATTAGGCCACACCCCCACGTTACCAGAAGTGTGGTCATCCAGCCACACCCACCTTTTGCTTCTTATTCTATTTACTTTGTTGTCAAAACCAGGGCTTTTTTTGTAGCAGGAATCCTTTGCATGTTAGGCTACACACCCCTAATGTAGCCAATCCTAATGAGTTTCTGCTGTTGGGTGTGGCCTATTATGCTAATGAGTCCCTGCTGGGCGTGGCCAACCCGGGAGCCAGGCAGAACTCCGTTCCTGTGCGTTCTTGCCCCAAAATAGCCCTGATTACAGCTTCCATATTTTTGGTACAGGAGAAGGCAACAGGCATGGCTTCTATGCCAGTGGAGTCCAAGGCAGATCCCTGAGATGGTGGAGGGGCCAGGTTACGCAAAGCTTGTCTGGCCACAGACAAGCCTCATCTCCACTTTCCTCCCATTTTCTTTGTTCCACAGATGGAGGTTGCATTCTGGGGGGCACTGGGGCCAGAAAGGTTGCCTGCTCCTGACACAGGCAACAAAAATTCTGCCGCGTAGACTGGGCCAAGGAGCCTGCCAATCTATCCTATATTGTGATACAATCTGAGTACCATCTATTGTGTTTGCAAATCAGTGATTAGCATTGTTACGGAGAGGGGAATTTCTTTTTTTCTTAAATCCACCCTTTTAGATATAGGCACTGATTCCTCTTGTTGATTCCTTTTAAAAGAGGGATTTCCCTTTCGCTTCTCTTTGAAGAGAGATCAGTTCCCCCCTTCTGTAAATTCAGCTCTTGCAGTTGTTTTCTACTGCCCACCACAGGGCGGTGCTCTAGCAGGAGAACAGGAAGGTTTGGGAAGACACTGCCTGGCCTCTGAGCATTTGCAGGGTGAAACCCTGCAGAGCCTTCCTTCCTGCTCTTCCTCTCCTTGAATTTCTCTGTGATCAAAATGGAATTGATCAGAAGCAGACTTCAAATTCCTAAAGAGAGGAAATGAAACAGGTTGCTGGATTTTAGGGAGAAACTGGGTCAAGGGGAATTAAGAGAATTTCTCTTAACGATGCTATCAGTGACATGCCAGAGCTAACCAGAGATGCAAAAACAAACACAGCATCCTATAGCCTCATGGAAAACAGACGCTCCTTCCAATTAGGGGCACAGGAAGGAGGGCGTTCTTACGGAAAGGAGGTAGCACAAAACCATTCCGGAACACTTACTTACCAGCTAAGTGGTTGGTAATCCTGGTAATGGGTTTGGGAGGCAGGGCGGGGGGCTGTTTGAGGAGAGAGAGCTGTTTCACTGGGGTGTCCTCATGGTCTCCAGAGAAAGCAGCGGATTTTTTAGGGGGGAGGAGCAAGACAGGTTTAGATGAAGGATCTTGAGATAGGTGGACTCCAGATTCACTAGACGTGGGGCTCTCGTTGGACGCTGAAGGACACAATGACATCAGAGACGCAACAACGTTAACAAGCAAAGCGGGAGCAGAGAGAGACGAGAGAAGCAACAGAGCAATGTGGGTTTTGTTTTGTTTTTAAAAAACACATAACTAAGAGCAGCGCTAATTCAGACATTGATATATAAATATACAAAGAAAGAGTGAGAACAAAGAAGAAAAAGAGAGAAGCTCTCCACACATGGGCTGATAACAAACTCTGGGGTTTTCACAGTAAACTCTAGAACTTTGTCTGTACACCAAGGTTGTATTTATTGCCTCCATTTGAAGACACGGTCAAGAATTCAGGGGCGAATTCTCGGGGCACTCGTGCATAATTTCACTGAAGAAGCCAATCCAGATCGCAACATCGGAACTATCTCCATAACTTTCCAGATCAGTGTGTAATTCCATCTAGAGGATGGGATGCCTATGGGTCCATTCATATTAATCTGTCCGTAGCCCAGGGCTTAACAACATTGCACACGAGCATGGGTGTAACCGGCAGTTTCTGACAGGATTCCTCAGGGTAGAAGTTGCAAACCTTTTGCATGGATGGAATGTTTTCCATGTGGATCTGCCTGCTGTTCCACCACTGCACAGCTGCCATTGGGCCCTGTGGGTTGCGGAGGATTCCGGAGCATATGCTAGGCGGCATTGACCAGGCATGCTGGACCTGAAAGTGTGTCCTAGAACATACCACCAAACACTCTACTCTGGCTGCACATTTCAGGGGAGGCCAGCTGGAGTGTGGACAAGGGGCTGGGTTGTAGCTCAGTGGCAGAGCATCTGCTTGGCATGCAGAACGTCCCAGGTTCAGTCCCAGGCATTTCCAGTTAAAGAAGCCAGGAGCAGGTGATGGGAAAGTCCTCCGCCTGCGACCCTGGAGACCTGCTGCCAGTCTGGGGAGAGAATACTGACTCTGATGGGCCAGTATAAGGCAGCTTCAAGATGCTGACGCTTTTATAGACTGGTTGTACATTCCAAAGACTGTTTGATACTAGGACTGCCAGCCTCCAGGTGGGGCCTGGGGATCTCCCGCTTTTACAACTGATCTCCAGCTGACAGAGATCAGCTCCCCTGGAGAAAATGGCTGACAAAGATCAGCTCCCCTGGAGAAAATGGCTGCTTTGAAGGGTGGACTGGACTCTATGGCATGCTGAGGCCCCTCCCCTCGTCAAACCCCGCCCTCTCCCGGTTCCACCCCCAAATTCTCCAGGTATTTTCCAACCCAGACCTGGCAACCCTATTTGATACAGCTGGTTTTATTGAAAGGAGGTTATATAAAATATATGAGATGGATTTGTTGGTGGGGGTTAGCTTTCTGAATTGTTTTTAATGTTTTGCAGACGTATCATTTTAATTGTATATTGTTTATTTATTTTTATTTTTTGTTAGCCATCTTGAGCAGATGTCTGGGGAGGGGCCCAATATGATTAGCCAGGTACTGTTTTTCTCTCTCTGGGTTAGGTCTTTTTTGGGGGTCCAGTTTTTAAAGTATTTTAAATTATTTTTTTACTCTTGATGTTTTATCTATTGTATTTTGTTGTTTTTATACTTGTTGTAAACTGCCCATAGAGCTTTGGGTAAGGGTGGTATAGAAATGAAATAAATACTATTACTACTAACAACAAAACCAAAAATAATAAAAAATGTTAAAATCTCTGCCAGGAAACTTCACTTGCCTTTTCTGAACTTTTCACTGTCAAAAAAAAAATCTGAATAAAGCAGTTGGATTTTTAGAACATTTTGGTTTCTCTACCAGTTTTATGGAGTTTTCAATATTTACTCATGATTATGACAGAACTGTAATTCTCTATATGGCTTTATTCTTTGGCCCTTTTACCATTCATTTATTTTAAATGACATTTTATCTTGGCAATGAAAGGAACTGTGCTTGTAACAGGAACATTCATACCTCATGTCTGTCTTATATTTGCTCAGGGAATCTGTAAAACTTTGAGAAAATCATCTCCCCTCTCCGGGCCTCAGTCATATAATTCTAGCAATGACTATCCAACCTGTTAAACCCTCTGCATATTGCAAAGAATTGTTCCACCTTTCTGTTTGTCTAGAGCCTTTTTTCCAGATGCCTGATAAATTATATTACATCAACAAACTGAAAACACAATTACTGAGTTTCAAACCAACCCTCATCTGTGTGTATTCTGTTTCACACAAAAATAAAACCCAACAATCCCAGCCCCCCCCCCCCCCCCCCCCCCCCGGAATAGTGATCTCCTCCTATACTGTACAAACACAGCTACTGACATGGACAAAATCAGGCTATTTCTTACAGATGACGACAGCAAAATCTGCGGGCTAAAATAATCCACTTACACAAAAATTAGTCTCTATTCTGTTTTGTCTAATAAATACTACCATGTCCTGTCTTAGAATGAACCTCAAAAAGCTACCTGTTCCATCCATAATCTCTGGAGCTGAGTGCATATCGTATGTACAGGAATCCCCAGATGAGGAACATGGTTCCAGTTCAGACAGGGCCGGGAGTGAAGCCTGGCTGGAACTGAGGGTTTGCCCATTTTCCAGTGATCCTTCTTCATTTTGTGTGGGAAGCTCACCATCTAGAAGGAAGACAAATGGTAACATGAAGTAAAGAAGATAATCACAAGGTTTTAAAATCAAGCACTCTCCACAAAGAGGCTATCTAGAAAAAAGTGATTTTTTTTTTTTGCCTTTCTTGGTCACTTTCACACACATTCTGTCTCTTTCTTGTTATCACTCAATACCATAATTGCAACTGCAAGCAGACACCTCAGAGGCAGAGCTTCAACAAGCAACACCTACACTTTTGTTCAGTCAGAATCTGACAGAACTAATCTTCTTTTGTTCGGAATGACAGTTGTAAATGGTATCAAGTGTCTTGACACAGGGCAATCAAACAGAGTGTTACCACACATTCACTTTTCGCTGGAAGATGTAAGTATGCTTGCCACAAGAAAACTAGTTATGTATATAAAAGAACGGGGCAAACCTGAAATATTTGGGAGGATACAGAATCCATCGTTAGAGTGCTTAAAATATTTCACATTTCTAAACGACTGCAATATCCCTAACCATGTCTCTGTATTTTTTAAAAAAGTTATTCTATTATTTTGGGGATAGAAACCCCAGGCTTTTAAAATGTGATTTTATGGGAGCAGTTTAATTTAGATAATATCATCACCAACATATGATGTTCTAGATGTTTTATACATCTTCAAAATAATGAAGACATTTAAATGCAAATAGTTACAAGGGAATTATATAAGAAGGGGGAATAGGATGGATGGATAGATGATGGGAATGAGGAAGAATTATCATTATCATTATTACTGTTATCTATACATCAAATTCTCAAGTGTGGCCTCAACCTGCAGATATCTAACTCTGTGGATTGGGGCCATACTGACACTAAACAGATTTGTCTGCAAACCTGGGGGTCCACCCCCAGGTTTGTAGGAAAATCTGACATCTTAAAAATATATATTGGAAACAATGCAGTCTCGTTTCCCTTTGAAGCTGTTGGCGGCACTGGCATTGGACAGCCTCTCTGGGCCCGGCCGTGACAGTGCTGGTATCCAGGAGCCTCTGTCTGGGCCTTGCCGCAGTGGCCCTGGCATTTGAGAGGCTCTTTGGGCCCAGCCACGGCAATGTTAGCATCCAGGAGGCTCTCTGGGTCCGGACGCAGTGGCGCTGGCAACCAGGAAGCCCTCGCGGCCCAAAGCAGCTCGCAGACTCCATTGCCTCTGTGGCTGGTTCGGTGCCTGGTTCGGTGATAGGAAAGCAGTTCTGGGCCTGCGGCAACATCTTGACACCGCAGCTGCCGCGGCTGGTAAGGTAAGGAGAGGGGAGAGAAAGAGATGGGGGGAATATTGACAAGAAAGGGAGTGGGGAAGAAAGAGGGGGGATTGTCAGAGTAGGAGAGGGGGGAGAATTAGAGGGACGGGGTATGTTGACAGAGAAAGGTAGGGGGAGATTGATGGAGGAGTGGGGAGGGCAAAAGAGAGAGGGGTTTAGGTTGACGGTTAAGGGTTAGGGTTAGGGTTAGGGTTAGGGAGGACGAGAAAGAAATAGAGAGGGGGTGGGTCAACAGAGAAAGGGATGGGTGGATTGATGGAGAAGGGCTGAGGGCAAAAAGGGGGGGATAGGCAGACAGTTAAGGGAGGAGGAGAAAGAAGGGGGAGAAATAGAGAAGGTTAGGCTGACAGAGAAGGGGAGAAGTAGATTGGCACAGACGGGGGGAGTTCAAAAGAGGGGGGTAGTTTGCCAGTTCAGGGTAGGGGAGAGAAATAGGGGGAAGTTTAGAGAAGGGGGGGGGGATGGAATGACCCTCCTCACAAGTTGCTTGTGGGTTCCTGCTTATTTGTTATACTTAACGATATATAGTGTGCTTAGCCACCCCCTATCCTTTTAGGATGTCCTGAAATCAACCCACATCTTTTCAGTGGATGAATACTATTCAAAGATGGAATAGAATCTTGCAGGTAAAAAAAAAAAAGAATAAGTCAAATGATGCTTCATGCTCACACCAGTCTGGGCAAGGCTATCTGGGCTCTGCTGAACTTGGGACTTCACCTGTTGAAGTAAGGGAAGTTTGTCTCAGGGCAAGCCTAGATGGAAACAGCTTAGATTTAATTTCATCTAGGCTGCCCCAGGCCAGAGATGTTCATGAAGCTGGGCCTGGAAGAGACAGGCACTGCAGAAGCAGGCTACGGATGCCAGCCTCCAGGTGGGACCTGGGGATCCCCTGGAATGACAGCTCATATCCTGACTACAGAGAACCCCTTGGAGAAAACAGATGCTTTGGAGGCTGGACTCTATGGCATTGCAACCCCACTGAAGTCCCGGTCCTCCCCAGGCTCCATCCCCAAATCTTCAGGAGTTTCCCAACCTGGGTCTGGCAATCCTACCCCCCGCCATCTCCCACTGGTGGCCAGGGAGGACCCAGCAACCTTAAGGCAGGCACTTTTAAAGACTGCTTCCTCTTCCTCCAGCAGTTGAAGCCCCCGAAAGATGCCTTCCAAAACACCAGTCTGCCTGCCTCTCTCAGCTCCACAAAACGCTCTACCCTATGGAAAGCCTGAAGACAGAAACTGGCTGATGCTGACTACGCTTCTTGCACTGCTGCACTGAGAAAGTGCATAGAGTAGAAGAGGAGGAGATTGGATTTATACCCTGCCCTTCACTCGGAGTCTCAAAGCAGCTTACTATCTCCTTCCCCTCCTTACAACAGACACCTTGTGATGTAGGTGGGGCTGAGAGAGCTCTTTCAAGAACTGCTCTTGAGAAAAGAGCTCTGAGAGAACTTGTGACTGACCCAAGGTCATACCAGCAGCTGCACGTGGAGGAGTGGGGAATCAAACCCAGCTCTCCCAGATTAGAGTCTGCGCTCTTAACCACTACACCAAACTAGTGTGAGAATACCTGGGAATTTTTTGAAGGTATGTCACACTTGATGTGAGCCCACATTAATGTTTTGTCTTTTTTTGGGGGGGGGTAATGACTAATAACTGACTGTAACAGTTTTAATATTAGCTAATAGTTCATGTTGCTTTTATATACCTAAAGATGGGGATCTGGCCTCAGGCTAAATAGAGTGTGGCTTAATTTGAAACAAAACCATGCCGCCCCCCCGCCCCAACATTGTATTGATATGTACTGGCCACATGATCTACGTTACAGAAACTTCTGGACTGAACAAATTATAATTTAAAAGAATGGTACTTCCTTTCTCAAAATGACATCGGGAAGTCTGAGAACAACCTGTTAAACATCTTTGTTGTCATCACATGGGGTAGCCTCCTTGGCTTCTTGCTCTCAGAATGATGTAATAATCTTTATTATTTATGAATGGCTTGTTCTTAGTACTCAGAGTTTTTCACATATATTATCTGAGCAAGCCTTACCATCATGATGCAAGTTAGACCAGTACTGCCACCCCATTGTTAGAATGGTGGCAGTTGAGCGAGAATGCTTTACCTAAAGCCAACCCACATGTTCTTGAACGGTGTGACATTTGAATCTGGGCCTTGCTGACTCACTGCCCATGTTATTAACTAATGCACCATATCACCTCAGATCAACTCTGCAGCATGTCATAAGTCAGTCTGTGCTGAGTGATGGCTCAGATTTCTCAGACAAAGACCTACCTGCTAGCCCTCGGCCAGTAACTAAATAGACGACTACAGCTGGCTCTGAGCCAGAAGGAGAACAACAAGAGATCAGGTTACTGGCTGATCAGGAGTCAGAGTCTACAGATGAAACTGAGCCAACACCTTGCAGCTCTGAAGCAGTAAACAAATCTTCAGAAGCCACTCCCATCCCACCTAGCTCACCCACACCCTTGCAGTGCCGACGCTGTCAGAGATGCTTAAAGTTGCAAGAAAGGAGAAGAAGTGTGAGACTCATAGCCTGTCATCAGCTGTCAATTAAAGAGATGAATGAGTAGTTTCAGAATGACTGCCAAGGAACTGGCTGGGAATGTAGCTTGTTAAGACTTGACTATAAATTCAGTTGGGAGAAGCAGCAGTTTATGGATGCAACAAGAATACTTTGCTACTACCAACCCTGCTGCTACTTGACCTCTGAAACCTTGGACTGGACCTGACAACCAGCTTTTCTGGAACCCCTGACCTTGGTTTGGACTTGGACCTGCTGCCTGGAACTCCTTGACCTTTAGACTGGACTTTGGTTACTTTCTGGAACCTTGCCTGTGACCTGCCCTGCTGGACCCCAGCCCATGCCTCCTGGGGAAGGTACATCAGTACACAGCATCTATTTAACACTAAAGACTGAGGGTATGCCAACAAGGAATCTCATTCACTCTAGGACACATCATTCGTTGGTGCCGTCACCTTGCCCCTATTTTGGGGATCAGATGGGCCACAGTTCTTGAGCAGCCATCAACTGTCAAGGATTAGCTGATTTGACTCTTTACTAGGGTTGCCAACATCCAAGTGCTGGCTGGAGATCTCCTGAGATTACAACTTATCTCCAAGTGACAGAGATGTAATAGAGCAAATAACAAAGACCCAGGCTGATTTCTCACAAGCAGTTGTGCCGCTCTCGCTCTTCCCTTTCCCCCGATTGTATTTGTCAATTTCCCACTACTTGCTGTGTGGTCGCATTTTGACCAGCAGCATCTCCCAATTGTCCCTGTGTCTTCTAGTTCCTTGTTTTTTGAGATCTAGAGGATGTGGGGGAAATCAGGGGATGCTCTTTATTAATAGTAACTGTAGGGCAGGTAACTTGGCATTTGGAATAAGGAATAACAATACTTAACTAAGCTGTTTCTAGAGCTACTGGTTCTATCGATTCTTAGTAGGCCCTGCACTCCTGCCGGCTGCTAACAAGAAGAAGAGATTTATACCCCGCTCTTCACTTGGAGTCTCAGAGCGGCTTACAACCTCCTTTCCCTTCCCATCCCCACAATGGATACCCTGTGAGGAAGGTGGGGCTGAGAGAGCTCTTTCGAGGGCTGCTCTTTCAAGGACAGCGCTTGTCGGAACTATGGCTTGCCCAAGGTTATCCAGCAGCTGCAAAGGAGGAGTGGGAAACCAAACCTGGTTCTCCCAGATTAGAG